CAAGGTGGGGCCCCGCCGGCAGCAGCTTGCCTGCCAGCTGGGCCACAGGCATCCACCACAGCCCCCGACGTGGCATTGCTCAGTGCTGGCATCAGCCCACGGGAGCCCCAGGTCATCCACTTCCTCTGCCCCCACAGAAAGGGGACATGGCCCCTCTGCCTGTGGTCCTTCTTCCCAGGGCAGCTTGGGCCCCTCTCCCTCCATAGACTCGGGACTGCAGCTTTCATGATTCTCCCAAACTAAATGAGTCTCTGGGCCTCTAACCAAGCAAGCAACAGGCAGATCTCAGGGTTCAGATGGAAGCTGATCCAGACACCAACTACCTCAGAGAGGCATCAATGCCACTGGCCATCCAGACATGCGAGATGCACTGCTTGATGTGGGCTCCCGCAGTATGGAAAGTCTGGTGGGAGCCTCAGCTTGACACTGGCTTTCTGTGAATCCCAGGTTTAAATTTGTGCCATGAAGAAGACATCTGGTCAGTAGGCTACTGAAACCAACACAGGAGAAGAAAGTAGAAGGGCCACATCTCTATCCCCTTAAAATGGGCTTGACAAAGTGATGGAGCTGTCTTCACCTTCTGGTGTGAAGAACAAGCCTCCCTCCCTGCCCTGAGAACATTTCCTGTAGAGGAAGCACCCTCCAGTCGACCCTTCTGAGGCTGGTGGAGGATCTGCAGAGTCTCACCAGGCCAAAGACAGAGTTTGGGAAGGAGAGTGGCAAAGGGACCCACAGGCACCTGTTTGTGACCTGGAGCCCTGGCCCCCTACTCAGAGCGTGCAGTTTGGGGTGCCAGGGGACACAGCGACTTCTGGCTGCTGGACACTGGTTCCAGCCCAATGACTTCACCCATTGATCCTGAAACCTGCCAGTGGAGAGGAAGCAGGCAGGCACCTCTCTTGAGTACCTGTCCTCGTCCTTCCAAGGTCACCTTTGGGACCGGGCACATAGGAGAGCTAATCTCTCCTCCTTTGCTAGTTTCTGTGTATATGTCCTTAAAAAGCTGAGTCTCTCCACTTTGGTTTGACCACGGCTCTCCAGAATTTGCTCCAAGCACGCAATTCACATGTAGTGTTTGTGTAGCTGGTAGAGTCAATAGTTGAAATCCCTCATCATGGAGGGTATTATTTTGTACGTCTCTGGCTGGGAGGGCATGCCTCCCTCCCCTCAGGGGCTTCAGTTCTGCTGTCATGGGATCTGAAAACTTCTTGAGTCACAACCTGCAAGTGCCTCCTTGTGCCTTTAGAAATAACAAGTGTGAACACGAGTGGGTGTGTGCAGTGCCTATAAAGTCACCGCGGAAAGCTCGGCGTGGGAGGGTGCACCACCGGGTTCCTGCTCTCTGCCGAGCCGTGCTGTTGTGATGGGTGAGTTCTCTTCCCAGTGGCACACTGCATTCATGTGTGGTGCTGGGCTCAGACAAGACGTGACCGGGGTGAGTATACAAAGGCAGAAGCTGATTAGCAGAGCAACAGCCATGCTCGTGCCTGGGTGATGCATGCTGCGAGGCACCCTGGTAGCAGAAGGGACGCAAGACCAAAGCGCCAAACGACACGCATGCTTGGTGCCAGCCTATGCTTTCCCCAGGCTACCTATGCCCTGTGTTCCCGTGTCCTGTCACGGGAGGTTAATGTGGAGACCTAGCTTTCCACTTGGTCCTTTCCCTTCCTGACCAATGCATGTGGCACCTGTGGTTGCACAGGGGTCCTTCCCCAGGCGTGGTGGCATCTCCCCCAGTAACTGAGCTAGTCAGGGCGTAGGGGTGTGCTGGTGGCCAGCATGGAGGATTTGGGCTTGTGTCACTGTGTGGGCCCGGGAGATTTCCTGCTGTCTGCTTGGGAGCTGGCATATGTGCAACAGGACCCATCTCTGGATCTGGTTTCCTACTAGCTGTCATTGGTCTGGAGCAGCTTATACAAAAGACTTAAGCATGATTACTTCAAAAAGAACTGTATCCTGTGATGCCCCCGCCCTGGCAAACTACTCTTCCCCAGATCTAGATGTGTCATTGTCCTCTCTTAGCAACTCTTGGGCCATAGGTTCTGAGAACAGAACTGCAGTTTTCGGGCTGGCTGGTGCAGGGGTTGACCAGGAGGGTGGCAAAGCAGTTTCTCCTCTTGCTTCAGCCCTGCAGGGGCAGAGCCTGTGCCGAAGCTGCAGCTCCCACCACCCCGGGAGCCCCTGCTCCTGCCTGCGCCCCACGGCTCTGCCTGCCCTGGTCCGAGCTCCGCGGGAGCCGGGGGGCTGCCCGGGGACCCTGGTGGTGATGGGCCAGGGCTCCAGGCTGTGAGGCGTCAGCGCTGCGGGGACCTTGTCCTCCTGCCCGCCGTGGTGGGGATGCTTCTCCTCTGCGTGAGCGCTGGCCCGGCAGTGCCCACTACCAGCTCCCGGAGCGGTGAGTACAGAGTGGGTGGGGGCACTGACTGTGCACCCAGGTGCAGAGCAGGACAGCGTCTGCCTAGCTCTGCACCGGCTCTCAGGTCTGCTAAGGGCTGGGAAGGTCAGCGTGCACCCAGGGTGTGTGGACACCCCAACACAAGAATGCCTCACACACACCAACCCCTGTAAGGTGAGCAGCCTGACACCTGCCAGGCCACCCCCCGCTTGAAGGCTCCATGCTGAAATCAAGGGGTTTCTGCCCAAACACCATAACCTGGCAGGAGTGCTCTGCGGTGCTTGTGTCTTTTCACACTTTGGTTCTAGGAGAGACCCTCCCAGCCATTTTTTTTCTTTAGCTCTTGTTGGATTAGGGGTATTCCCGTCACCCCTGCAGGGAAGGGTTACATTCCCTACAAGACCTGTGTGCCCAAGAAAAATAGAATTTCATGGACTGAAACAGAATTACCCACAGCAAATTGTCTCTCATCAGACACAAAACAAGAAAAACAAATTAGACAACAAATTAATTTGGCAAGTAAGTCATGACAGATCAGTCCTGCTAACAGATAAACTGCAACAAGCTGGGAGACAAGATCCCTATGAGGTTGAGGTACAACTTAGCTTTCTTTTGCAATTGCATGACCCTCAGAGAAAACATAAATTTTCACAATGTATCTTCATCCAGTGGAGCATTTTGGACACTTCTGATCCTTGCAAGAGCTGCAGCTCTATATATCAAGTGGCCCTGTGTGAGGACCAGATATACCTGGAGGCCATCACTGGCACCTGGAGGACATTTTTTCCCCTCTTTTCTTGGCCACATGCATTAGAAGGCTCCAAATGAAATAGCAAGTCATGAGAAACAGATCCTAGGGCTCTTACCAGGGCTACTGTCCTACAGACCTTCGGTTGCTCTGTAGATGAGCCAGTGGAAAAGCCCCACCACACTGAGAAGTAGACCACAAAAAAAGGAGCCCTTCTTGTCCTGAGTCTTCACTCTGCTACAGGAGCTCCTTGCTGCCCTGACAGACTCATCTGATCCTTCCCTCTCCCACACCAACCTGTGTTTCTCACTGCTGCTGCCACAGGGTTCCCCGCAGACTGCAGCCATCTCCGCAAGAACAGCCCCAGCGGGGTGTATGTCATCCAGCCGGCGAAGTCCCCCCCACGTGTGGTGTGGTGTGACATGGACACCGAGGGCAAGGGCTGGACCGTTGTCCAGAGAAACTCTCATGACACTGAGCTCACGTGGAAGCAATCCTGGACCACCTACAAGTACGGCTTCGGGAACGTGCAGGGTGATCACTGGCTGGGCACCGAGTACCTGCACCTGCTGACGCAGCAGGGCACCTACAAGGTCCGCTTCGTCGTGCGGAATAAAGCCAA